AGGGTGTGTTCATTTCAAAGGTTAATATCTCTCCCTGTGCAAATACTTACTACGTTGCTGGTACACATGCCATATTTATGATTGGAAAACCAAACAGATCGAAAGTCTGCCTGTTTAGTAGATGGAGTTTGGGGTCTGGTAAAGGGTCTGACAGCTGAATAGAAAAACAAATATTGGATCTTTGTAAATTAGAATGAATGATAAGTGGGAAATTAATACAGCATGGAAATAGAGACATATTTGATAGATGAGAAGCAAACGTTTTTGCAATGGTCTAGGCAGATAAGATGGTCTGTAGTAGGATGTATGGAAATACAGACTTGTATTTCTTTCTTTCTTTTTTTTTTTTTTTTTTGGTTTTTACGAGACAGGGTTTCTCTGTATTGTTTTGGAGGCTATCGGTCCAGCCCAGCCTCGAACTCACAGAGATCCGCCTACCTCTGCCTCCAAGTGCTGGGATTAAAGGCGTGCGCCACCACCGCCCGGCCCAGACTTGTATTTCTTATTTGTCTTGAAATATATAAACAAACCAATAGCTAAAAAGAAAATAGTTATTGGTGGGATTCATTCCAAATGTTTTTGGGGCCAGGGAAATGAACCCCAATTTAAAGTGCTTGCTGCTCTCACAGAGGACCCATGTTCGGTTTCCAGCACCTGCCCTGGAAAGCTCACATCAACCCACATTTTCATCTCCAGGAGATCTGATGCCCTCTTCTGGCCTCTGTGGGTATTTGTACATGCATGTGTACACATACACATGCAAAAGAAAAAACCAAATCATTTCAGAAAATATAAATTCTTACACTAGTGACCAATAGTTTTATTTGTTTGCTGAAGTTTTACATTCTATTTAATAGCTGTTAGACAATATCCCTGCACAACTCTTCCATTTCAGGGATATTTTCCCAATATTTATTTACCAAGATAAACTTTACAATGATTTTGTCGTGGTTTAATATCACTCAATTCCACAAATCATACTGTTTTTTTTTGCTGTACATCTATGTGTACATAAATTGAGTTGGTAAGATATTTTTTGCAATGTTGAGACTTCCTGTCCAGAAATTTATTATGTTTCCATTCACGAGCATCCTCTTTTAAGGCCCTTAGTAAGACTTTGCCATTTTTCATTATGCTTGTGATTATCAAACACCTCATGATACTTACCAATAATATGAATTTAATTTCCCACCGTACAGCCTAAATGGTAGTCCCTGGTATCTGGTGCTGTCTATGAGGCCTCTACAGTAGTGCCTCTCTGCATTTTAGCTTTGGACAAACCAAGGCATACAGGAAAAGGAAATGGGACATAAAAAGTCTACCCTTCTTACTGCCAAAGGTGCCTGAGAAGGCGTGCTGTCTTTCTCCTGTAAGTAGACATATTTATTTCTATAGTTTCAGGAATAATGGGACAGTGATATATCTACACCCCCAGAAACAGTTCTGGTCAATAGTGAAAGCATTCGAAAAAAATTTCTGCCTGCAGTCAACTCAAATCCAAAACAGAATTCAGAGCTATCTGTTCTGGTTTAACCCCTTCACCAAATTCACTAATTACTTCTACCAAACTACTTTTACCACTAGGGTCGAGAGACCAGTCGTCTCTCCATATAGAAAAGAAAGCCAACCACTGTTTCTGGGTCCATCTTATGATTGTCCACATTAACAAATTCTGTAGCATTTTAAGTCAGCTCTTTTGAGTTTCATTCCTAGGGAAACAAGCCATGAACAAATCATGAAAATGTTCTGCTTCTCAATTTGTCAATCTCAATTACTTATCTTATTGCATTGTCTTCATGAGGATCATACCAGACACTCTTGCTTTTTATTTCAGTAAGACTATCTCCAATGTTTCACCATCAGATGTGTATGTTGATAGCTTCTGACAGATAAACTTGACCATGTTAAGAAGTTTAGATGTGGCCAGATGTGTGATGGCACATGCCTCTAATCCCAGCATTCAGGAGGCAGAAATAGATGGATCTCTGTGAGTTCTAGGCCAGCCTGGTCTATAAATTGAGACCCCCCCCCCAATCTCAAAAATTCAAAACTAAACTAAAACCAAAACCCAAACCCAAACTACCACACAACAAAAAACTCTTTAAATGTTCTTTATAGTTTACTGTTTTCTTTTCATTTATAAGACATTGGTGTTGAGATTCATTAAGTACTTTTAGAGTATCCATCTGGGGCTGGAGAGATGACTCAGGCTAAGAATACCTGAGGCACTTAACAAGGTTCAAGGTGTAAGAAGAGGCAGAGCTTTTATTTTCCGACTGCCTAGTCCCAAATAAACACACAAAACTTATGCTAGTTACAAAATGCTTGGTGGATAGCTCAGGCTTATTGCAAACTAGTGCTTACATTTAAATTAGCCCATGTCTTTTGATCTGTGTATCTCCACGTGGCCGTGGCTTTGCTGGCCCTCTGGCATCATGTTTCTTGTATGGCCCTTGGGTCTCTCTTGACTCTGCCCTTCATTTTAGTCCTCAGTTTGACTTCCTCACCTAACTTCCTGTCTGGCAATTGGTCAATCAGCATTTTATTAGCAAATAAGAGAAATGCACATTCATAGTGCAGAAAAGCATTGTTCCACAACACCAGGGTTTGTTCCCAGCACCCACATGGAGACCTTAATGCCAATTCCATGGGATCAATGCTCTTTTTTGGCATCCGTTGGCATTGTACACATGTGGTGCACATACATACATGCAGGTAAACCACTTATATACTCAGAATAAAAATGTAGAGTGTCTAGCCTATTGATATTATGTTTAAAAAGAACAATGCAATGAATTTACAAATATCTTTAAAAGGTTGGGGGGGGCAGGGGTGCGCAACTATGTAGCTCTGGCTGGCCTGGAACTCTCTATGTAGACCAGGCTAATCTCAAACTCATAGAGATCCACCTGTCTCTTCTGCCTCCTGATTGCTGGGATTGAAGCTGCTGCTAGCCAGGGCTGGAGAGATGGCTCAGCAGTTAAGAGCACTGACTGCTCTTCCAGAGGACCTGAGTTCAATTCCCAGCAATCACACCGTGATTTACAACCATTTGTAATGAGATCAGGACACACTCAGATATGTGGGTGTATATACAGACAGAGTATTCATAAATAACGCCCCCCCCACCTGACCTGATTTTACAGATTTTTTTTATTATTAGTTGTTTTTTCCCCCGAGACAGGATTTCTCTGTATTGTTTTGGAGGCTGCCCTGGAACTCGCTCTGTAGACCAGGCTGGCCTTGAACTCAGAGATCCGCCTCTGCCTCCTGAGTGCTGGGGTTAAAGGCGTGCACCACTAGTGCCTGGCTTATTATTAGTTTTAAAAGATCTACTTATATTTTATGTCTGTGCATTGTGTGCATGTACGTGGTGCCCTGGACAGTTGTGAGCTGCCATGTGGGAGTTGGGAGTTGAACCAAGTCCTCTGGAAGGACCACCAAGTGCCCTTAACTTTTGTGCCAACTCTCCAGCCCCAAATTTACAGCTTTGTTAATATTGAATTTTCTCTGTAATTCTGAATGAAATATTGATCATAGAGTTTGGGCTAGTTTTGCAGCAAACTGGATCAGAAAGTGCTACAGTTTTATTCAGTAGGGCCACGACCATATTCTTAAGTGTGTCCGTCTATGGTAGTAGGAGGCTAAATCATGAGCTTTGACAAGAGTGTTCTTGACCTAGCTGGTTCTGGGAAATGGATGACTACACAAACGAGCCACATTTTTGTTTCACTGCTGGACATGAGAGCCTTCTGTGTTTTAACACTTACTGTGAGCCTCCCAAAGGAGCGCAGATGGGAGGCGCACAGTACTGTCACCTCCTTAGACAGCAGAGGCCTTTTATCAAAGCACGTACATTCAGTTCTCCAGGGACAGTGCTCTTTCCTTGTGTTCTTTTTGGTGTAGACTTTCTTTTTTGGATCTTGGTATCGGGGTTATGATGAACCTGGAAATACATTATCTTTGCTTTTGCCTTGTAGCAGGTTTTTGTTGGAGACGGGGTCTCCCTACGAAGCCCTGGCTGCCCTGGAACTATGTAGACTAAGGCTGGCCTTAAACTCACAGATCTGCCTGCCTCTGCCTCCCGGGTGCTGGGATTAAAACGATGGCCACCACACCCGGTTTGGTAGCAGTTTAATAACAGATTGTCTGTCCCCTTATGGTGTGATTGGACTTGTTTTAGACCCATTTGGACCAGTGGTGTTTCTGAGTAACACAAATGCCTCGAAAGCATGCACACATTTGGACATCATTCCCGCGGGATCTTTTCCTCCACAGGCTCTTTTGCTTGGCACACTAGCTTCAGGATCTTGGAAACGCCTGGTCCACAAGCAAGGCAAGCCCGCTACTGTGTATGATGCTGTTTTGAATGTCCAGTTTAGCACATGTCCCCTCCAGGGCCTGCAGGTGGTTCAGGGATCAAAGGCTGTTGTGCCTTTCTGTCCAGCCTGAGGGTCCTGCTCCATTTCACTGTGACTCCTGTACCTTCCCTCAGGTACTGCCGGGGCAGGCATCCTACTCTAGAAGCCTCCTTAAGGCTTGCCCTCAGGCCCCCATGGGTAAATCATTTGCCCAGCAAGAGGGGCAAGCAGAAACCTGCTCCGAGAGTGGGGTCAGTCTGAGGCCCGGCTGCTCCGCGTTAGCTCAGCCGGGCAGTGGGGAGAGCAGAGGGGATCGCCCCAGGGTGTAGTCAAGCCTCCAAGGGCCAGGTGGGAGGGCGTCCCTGCAAAGGGCCACTCCGGGCCTGCAGGCCTGGGTGCCGGAGCGTCTTCCAGGCACCTACGGCCGAGCTGAGAGGTGGACAAGGGGGACGCGAGGCCTAGCGGAGCCGAGCGGAGGCCGACTGGGGGCGGGGACCGAGGGCGCCGGGGGCCACAGGGCGGTGCGCTCCCGGCTCCGCCGCAGGCTACGCGCCCCTCCCGCCCCGGCCCGGCCCGAGCCATCGCCGCCGTTGTCGTTGCCGCCGCCGCCGCCGCCAGGCCGCGCCCCGCCCCTCGCCGCCGCCGCTCCCGGGGAGGCTGCGCTCGAGCTGCGGCGCCGGCTGCAGCCGCCTGGGCCCCGGGCCCGGCTCCTCCCGCGCCGCCCGGGCGATGAGAAGCTGCTTCTGCGTGAGACGGAGCCGGGACCCGCCGCCGCCGCAGCCGCCGCCGCCCCAGCGGGGAACAGTTAAGTGAGGCCCGCGCGGGAGGACGGGCGGGGCCGGGCGGGCGCGGGAGGAGCCGGCCGGGCCCAGGCCTGCGGGCTGCGCGCCCGACCCCGCGTGGGGACAGGCCCGGGAGGGCGGCCTCCGCCCGGCGCGGTGCTGCAGGCTCCCAGGGCTCCGGCTCGGCCTTGCGGCTGGAGCGAGCTGGGGATTCGAGTGGTAGCCCCGCTCCGAGGGTGGAGCCAGGTGAGGGGCGACGGTCCCCACCCGGGGGCACACGCTGGGGACAGTTCCCTTGACTCTCCTGGCCTGGGGTCTGGCTCTCTGCTGTCACGTGGGTGCGAATGAGCGTGCACCTGACCCTCAGGCATCATTACCTGGGGGTACCCAAACTCTAGGGCACCTGTCTGCAAGGCGACCAGCCATCCGGGAAGCATGGTGGGCATGTTGATGAACCTCCCCTTGCAGTGACTCCAGCCAGGGCAAGTGAGGCCTAAGAGGATCACATCCTCAGAGACAGGGACTGTGAAAACGGTAGACCAGGAGCATCTTTGTTCCCATTGTCTTCAGCACACAGCAGTCCCTGAATTACCAGTTTATCTCTCTTCTGTCCCCTGACCCCCCCCCCGGACCTGTTCAGCAAGACAAGAGGAGAAACCACAGCCAGCCCCAAGGCAAATGGCCATTGCCCCTTCTCCCTGCCCCCACGTGAGACCCAGAGCGCCTGGATTTCAGCCACATTGGCAGGCAGCAGGCAGGGCTCCTGTTTCAGGGTCTTTGTCTCTGGTGGTGCCTTCTTGGAGAGTATGTTTCCCTACAGATGGCTGGGTCCTATCTCCTTTTAACAGGGCTAGCAAATCTTATCAGCTGCCTTGGAAAAGTTAGAAGATAAGCACTGGAGGAACCTATACTAACTGACACACCCTGAGTAGGTGAGGTTAGTTACCAGAGATGGCAACCTTTCTTGCCAGCTGGGAAGTCGCTTGGGGATGCTTTGAGGAATTGTGCCACACTCACATTTAAGAGAGTTGCTGAGAATTGGGGCTCCTGCAGGGGCCTGGTCACAAGAGGAGGAGGTGGATTGACAGGTCGGTGGCTGGTTCATTGAATATAAAATCAGCTTGTCTCATTCTCACCGTCCATCCCTTTCTGATGCAGCTTAAAGACCTTTGTTGTGCTTATATTGGTGGACCCTAGCCATTTCAAGAATATTTCGCTAAGGTTAAGTGCAAGGGCTTTAGCATGAGACCCTGGCCTGGGTCTCTGGCTTTTCTAATGAACTTTTCTGTATCTCCATTTCCTGGTATGTAAACTGAAGCTAATGACTCTATGGGAGGTTATGGTGGAATATAAATGAAGTGTTACAGGAGAGTTTAACATAGTGCCTGCCATGGTGTGGTAAATTATCAGTAAAGGCAGAATCAAGGCTCAGGATCAAATGTGTGTGTGTGTGTGTGTGTGTGTGTGTGTGTGCATTCTGGTGAGCTCTACCACTGAGCCACACCCCCCAGCCCAGTTAGCAGTTACTGTTAAAAAGCATTTGGTAATCAGACTTGCTTACTTGGTTTATTTTTGAGTGCCTGTTTGCAGGCGTAAGAAGGACCTTCTCAGGGCAATAGTAAGCGCAGCTTGAATTTGAGGGCTTGGGTTGCATTCTGTCCCACTCTTTGGACCCTAGGTGGCCCTAATAAATCACTATCCCTTTCTTGAATCTCCATTTTCTTAATTGTAAAAGTGGCTTACAAATAATACTTAACCCCATAAGGATCAGCAGTCGGGGAGGTACTTGACCCTTCAAAGAGGCAGAGAGCCTCATGAGAATTAAGTGCTTACATGATCTGCTGCTGAGGTCAGGCCCCATCAGAAAAAGAACTCAGGGATGTCTTGATTTTGTATGTGTTACAGGGCCACATGGCCATTTGAACACAATGGCTGAATGCCCTCTCAAGGCTAAGGAGTAAGGGAGAACCCCAGCATTGAATTTCTGCCCTTTTCATGGCAGGTCTGCTTCAGGGCGACCAGAAGCCATGTGGCTCGGGTCCCTCTGCTATGGCCAGTTAGAAGTGCTCCAAGCTTTGTGACCAAAGCACAATAGCCTCACCACACAGCCACATAATGATGGTGTTGGAGTTGAGTATGGGGTGTCAAGTCTGCTGGGACAATGAAAATGACAGATGACCACATCGCATTGCATCGGTGGATGTGGTTGGGCTGAGGACACTGGTTACTGGCTGTGGATGGTGGGCAGAGCCTCCTTTGCCTCCCAGCTGGTGGTGCGGGGTGGTAGGGCGCCTGCAGTAAATGGCTTCCTCTCCTGACTCTTCTATTGTCCGGGGGGTGAGGTGGGGGGGGTGGGTGTCTCCTCAACCTTCACCTTACTGTGCTGCCCCAGGGAATTGTGGTTTCCTAGTGCTGTCTGCAGAGCAGGGGCCTAAGTCAGTTCCCTTACTCCAGCTGCCGGGCAGGCAGAGCCACCAGCAGGGTGCGTGACATCACCTCCCTTGTTGGGGACATCCTATGGGCGGTGTTTGGTTTAGTTGACACACTCCTGGCGAGATGCTAAGCTTGTCCTGGCAGAAATATGAGAGCCCCATGGGACCAGGTCCCAGGGCCTCACACCGGAGCTCAGTACCTCAGCTTCTCTGAGGAAGGAGGGCCCACTAGTTGCCTTGTAGCTGAAATTTTTACTAATGTGTTCCTGTGTTCTTTTTATCTATAGACACAGACATGTATGTACATGCCACATCCGCTCTTAAAAAATTAAAAAAAAAAACTAGATACTGCCAGAATGTTCAAAAGAGTACCCTTATGGCCATTAAAGGAGAGAAATAAATGGTTTTTTTGTTTGTTTTGTTTTTCGAGACAGGGTTTCTCTGTATTGTTTTGGAGCCTGTCCTGGAACTCTCTCTGTAGACCAGGCTGGTCTCAAACTCACAGAGATCCACCTGCCTCTGCCTCCCGAGTGCTGGGATTGAAGGTGTGCACCACCAACGCCCGGCTCCATGTGATTCTTTATAAAGGCCATATTTGTGTGGGGCCTTTAAAAGGGTTAAAAGGTTACATGTGTGTGGAGGTCAGAGGACAGGTGGTAGGAGTCAGTTATCTGCTTCCGCCATATGGATCCCAGGAATTAAACTCAGGTCATCAGGCTTAGTGGCAAGTTCCTTAACCTGCTTGAACCATTTTCCTGGCCTATACAAGAGTTATTTATTTATTTTTATTTTAAATGAGTGTGTGTGGGGGCGTGTATGCATGAGTATAGGTGCTCATGGAGGCCAAAAGAGGGTGTTGGAGCCCCTGGAGCTGGAGTTATAGAAAGTTGTGAGCCACCCAGCAATAACCGTGGGTCCTCTGCAAGAGCAGTGTGGTCTTAACCACTGAGCATCTCTTTAGCCCCGTACATGAGTGAGACAGGGTTTCTCTGTATTGTTTTGGAGGCTGTCGGTCCAGCCCGGCCTCAAACTCACAGAGATCCGCCTGCCTCTGCCTCGGGAGTGCTGGGATTAAAGGCGTGTGCCACCACCGCCCGGCCTCGTACGGGAGTTCTTAACGGGCCAAATAAGCCCGTGGAGTTCATGGGAATATAGATTCCAGGGCTTCTTTCCCAGACGTCACTGAGGCAGAATGTCCAGGAAAGGGACCCAACCTGTGTGCTTAGAGAGCTTATTTGGGGGTGTTCTTATGCCTACTGAAATTTGAGAACCATGGTTCCAGGCACTTTTAGAAAAGTGGTAAATGGGGACAACACCAACTTTACCAACAGAGTCAGTGGTAAGTGTATGGATTGGTGGCAGTAAATCTGGTCATATGGTTATGACTGTGGAACTTTTCTTTCTATGTGTGTGTGTATATTTGCATGTGTATGGAGGTCAGAGGTCATCCTCCAGTACTCCTCAGAAACACCTGCATTGTTTTTTGAGACAGGGTGTCTCATTGACCTGGGTCCATGATAATTAGGTTAGGCTGGCCGAAGCTGCCCAGAAAGCCTCCTATCTCTAGCTCCTCAGCACTGGGATTACAAGCAAGCATTACCATTTTTGACTTTTTGTTTATATATTTATTATTTTAAAATTTATTTTGTGTGTATGAATGTTTTGCTTGCATGTGTGTAGGTGCATTGCATGCATCCCTGGTGCCCACAGAGGGTGGAAGAGGGTATGAGAGCCCCTGGAACCGGGGCTGCAGATGGCTGTGAGCTACCATGGAGGTGCTTGGAATGGAACCCAGATCCTTTGGAAGAGCAGCCAGTGCTCTTTACAGCTAAGCCATCTCTCCAACGCAGCCACCCACCTCCGTCTGGCTTTTGGGGGGCTGAACTCAGGTCATCTTGTGTTTTCAAGGCTGAATCATTTCTCCAGCCCTAATCATTAGACTTTTTTGGCTTGCAAAATTGAGTCATTAAACAACTCCCCATGTCCCTTCCTCATGGCTCCTGGCAGCTTCCATTCTGTTTTCTGTCTCTCTGAGTATGGCCATGCTGGAAACCTTATGGGGCTGACATGCTATGATGTGTAACTTCTGACTGGCTTATTTACCTTAGCACAATATCCTCACAGTTTGTCACATGATCCTGTGGGTCAGATTTTCCCTCCTTTCCGGGGCTGAGTGATGTATGATTGAATGTACTGACTGCATTTCATTTGGCCATTCATCATATGTTGTCCATTGAATGAGGCTGCTCTGATTCTGATTTCAATTCTTTGGGGCATATAGCTAGAAATGGATCATTGGAGAATTAGCATGCTTATTCCCGTAAAATGATGGCCGCCGTTTACGCTCCTACCAATAACAGCAAAGTTTCTGATTTCTCCATCTCTTCCCAGTGCTTGTTATCCTTTGCTTTTGGTAGGTAGCTAGGTGAATGCATGTACAATGCTTCATTATGGTTTGGGTTTTAACCCGCATTTCCCAGGGACTTCTTAGTGAACATCTTTTCCTGTGCTGCACACTGTCCATGCATCTCTCACCCTTGGAGAAATGTTTGTCTTCGTTTGCCCACTAAAAACAATGAGTAAGTTGATT